GTATAAATGGGTGTGTGAGTGTGTATGTGATTGTGCCCTGCGATTGACTGGCACCCTGTCCATGGTGTACCCGCCTTGTGCCCGATGCCCCCTGGGATAGGCTCCAGGTTCCCCGCGACCCTGAAGAAGGAATAAGCGGTAGAAGATGGATGGATGGATGGATGAATACTATGAAATTAGATGCTTTTAAAAAATAAGCAATGTAACCTACATCATACAGTATTACTTAATAAGTGCACATCCCTTGATTACCCGCCATTTATGACTGTACATCTTAAACCATACACAGTCATTGTAGAAATTGGAATAATGCAAAGGTGGACTAAGAACAGAAATCAGCGTAATATTACAGCATTAGGGCCGTGTTAGATCTGAAATGTAAAGCCACATAAATCCATCAGAACCACAATCAACAAAGTGCTGTGTGACGTTTTTAAACAAATGCAAAGAAATTGAAACAATGCAAATGTATCTTGCTCATTTTTGTATACTTCAATCATTTCTCTCGGTCGATTTTCCTGCTGCTAATTATTTTAATGCAGGGCTCAAAAGGGTTTATGGGTGTATGTTTAACTGAGGAATATGTGTGAATATTTAAAACAACTGACTGTATGCCCCTTTAACTCACCACTCCATCAGAAACGTTATAGCAGGTCTGGATGCAGAGGTTGATGATGACAGGCAGCTTCTGGTCCAGGAACAAAAGGCTGGTCGAGTTCGAGCCCGTCAGTACTCCAGGGAAACAAACCGGCGTAGAAAGTGAGAGTTCCTATCACTCCAGTGGTTTAAATGCAGCTCATTATATATATATATATATATATATATATATATATATATATATATATATATATATATATATATATTCATTTTTCATAATCATCTGCTTTACAGCCTATGTTACAGCTCATGTTTTCAGTTAAAACGCGACTTGTAGCAAAAGAGCAATAATGTAACATATAGATTAATAGAAACAGTATTATCTCTATTTAAGCAAAAGTAATGTTTCTTTATAGGCAGATCCTAAATTCCTTCCTGTCAAAACACAACTTCTGCTCACCTATCTGACACAAACACACTCCTCATCTTGTTATGTGAATATCCATCCCGTAATTCATTTTTTTGGAGCTGCCTGTGTTTCTAAAAATCTTCATAAAGCATTGTTGGGTTTTGGAAAAGCACTATACCATATGTACAGCGCCCTCCACTCATATTGGCACCCTTGGTAAATATAAGAAAAAAAGACTTTAAAATATTTTTTTTTTTTTTTAAATTTTTTTTTTTTTTTTTAAAAAATTAAAAAAAAAATTCTCTTCTTTTTATAAAAAAATAAATTATTATTTTTTTTTTTTTTTTTTTTGAAAAAAAATACCCATGACTTCCTGTTTCACAGGGGTACAAATATGAGGTAACACATTGGCCAAATTCTCTTAGTCATTCATAACAATAGATAAAACCAAACTATGTTCAAAATAACCAACTATGTTATTATAAGAAATACCCAACTGTTCTAAGAAATTCCCAGACTTATACAGTCCTGTGAAAAAGTCTTAGGTAAATGCAAAAAAATAATCCACTTAAAAGCAGTAAAGACTCATAAAATAAACAAGTCAATGTTAAGTGTAACAACCTTTTGCTGCTAAAAAATTCATCAGTCGTCTCTGGTACACTTAGTGCAGGTTTATAAGGAAATTAGCTGGTAGGTTTTTCTGTGCATCTTGGAGAATCTGCCACCGTTCTTCTGGAGACGCTACCCATGTCTGTTTTTCAGATAAAACCGGACAGATTTCATTATGGTTTTTGTGTAAAAATGGTGTTTTATATTATATGTTGCTTTCTTTACTGACACTTTACTCTAACATTTATTTATTTTTTTGGTGTTTTTTATTAACTCAATAATGCAGAAATTATAAAAAGAAACTAAGACAAAATTTGTATTTGAAAAAGTTAGGATGCATAAGACTTTTGAACAGTGTTGTATATTTATAATTGAATGAATTACAGATGTTTGTGAATCGATAATAAGGCATTGCATTGCATTGGTTAACGAAGTAGCAGTGGAAGCCGTAAGTATTATCAGACAGTAGTCTATTGGGGAACTGCTGTTAAGTCTCGCAATTTCCTTAGTATGGGCTTAGGTTTCTGACCTGGGGTCTGCCCCTGTAAGAGAAGTACACGATCATGTCACAGACACCGCTATTCAACACTTAACTTTTCGCCTAGGATTTACTCTACTGAAATATATCCTGTAATCAGCAACAGTAAAGGCTCTTAGATTAGACATCAGTAATTGGATTACTCACTAAGTCAAGTCTGAGACAACAATTACTTAAGGATGAGACAGAGTGTGTGTGTGTGTGTGTGTGTGTGTGTGTGTGTGTGTGTGTGTTGTGTGAAAATAATCAACGACAGGGTGGTGTGATGTGGTGCAGTGTGAGATGGAGTTACAGTTATCAGTTAGTTAGGTCCTGTTATCGCTTGCATTATGGCAGCTATAATCAATCATCTCTTTACCAGCCTCTCTTTACAACAAGGGGAAAAAACAGCTTGGGATGTAACAGAGAATCCCGAAAGTGCAAAGTCTTCTATCTTGAAGACTCTAACCGTAACAAAGCACTGACACCAGAGTCTCCTTTCATAATGATGTTAAATAGCTTCTTACAGAAAACATCACCGTATCAACAATGATATGTTTATCTTTGCTGAACAACAGTTAAACAACATTTGATTCCATTGTTATTTGGTTTACATTGTGGAGCATCTGCCATATAGTTCTCTGTCAATTAACTGTTACTATAGACACTATAACATATTACAACCCCAATTCCAAAAAAGTTGGGACAGTATGGAAAATGCAAAAAAAAAATGTAAACAAAAGTCATTTGAAAATTCAATTCACGCTGTATTATATTGAAAACCCATCATTAACACATTATCTGATGTTTTACTTTTTGAATTACATTTATTTTTGAAAATATACACATTCATTTCAAATCTGAGGACTGCAACACTCTCCAAAGAAGTTGGGACAGTCAACTGTTTACCACTGTGTAACATCACCTTTTTTTTAATAACACTTATTAAGTGTTTGGGCGCTGAGTGAAGACACCAGTTGGTTAAGTTGACCAAGCGGTACTTTCCCCCATTCATCCATTATGCATTTCTTCAAATTGCAACTGTACGGGTCCTTCGTTGCCTTATTTTGCGCTTCATAATGCACCACACATTCTTAATGTTGATGTATGGCTTCTGCTTTGCATAGCAAAGCCTTAACATGCATCTGTGGATGCAGTGGTAAATAGTTGTTGACTGACAAAGGTTTATCAATGTATTCCCGAGCCCATAATAAGATATCCATTACAGGCTCATGACAGTTTTTAAGACAGTGACGTCTGAGGGACCGGAAATCACCGCATTCAGAAGTGGTTTTTGACCTTGCCCTTTACGCACTGTAGAAGGTAAAATGCCCAAAATCCTACCGATTTGTCTTTGAGGAATGTTGTTCTTAAAGTGATGGATTATTCACTGACACGTCTGTTGGCAGATTGATGAGCCTCGACCCATCCTTGCTCTTGAAGGACTAGGCCTATTTTGGAATCTCCTTATATACTATGATTAGACAACTGCCTCACCTGTTTCACATCACCTTCTTATTTCAACTTGTCACATCGCTATTAATCCTAAATTGCCCCTGTCCCAACTTTTTTTGGAACATGTTGCATGCATCAATTTTGTTTAAAATAAACATTTATCTTCAAAAAAAAAAAAAAATGCAGTTGATTAGGTAAAACATCAAATACTTTGTGTGTATATGTTTTGGGTTTTTTTTTACATTTACATTTACAAATCACTCCTCTTTGTTTTTATTAGCATTTTCCACACTGTACCAACTTTTTCAGAATTGGGGTTGTAGAAAGAAAACATTAATGTAATAAATGGGGGGGGGCACGGCATGAAGTGCATTATTTTTGTATAACTCCATGGTCTAGTATGTGTTATTATGCTTATACCACAGCAATTTACCAAAGACTACAGTGTTTAATTTATTAATGAATGCATTTTAACAGTTTTTGTTAGATTGAATGTTGTGGAACATCCAAGAGACATGTTAGTTCCTGTTATCAAGTCTCTATGTATGAGTTGTTACTATAGAAATGATCACATATTAGAACAAGTGCATTAATATAAATCTATCGTTACAGCCAGAAATGCTGTGCTGTTACATGAAAATAATGCACACCTTCTGACCAATCAGATTTGAGAATTCAAATGTGTTGTATAACACTCCATGTAAAAAAAAAAATTAGAGCAAGGTTTCTTGTTCCTCTTGGCTACATTGAGACAGACAGCTTGAGTAGCCAGATGATATCACTGTCAGTGGAAAGAAGTTTCCTTTGTATGCACTCTTATTAGATAATTAAATGTCTCTTACACACTCATACCTCTCAGGATGCTGGAGGACAGGAAGAGGCAGCAGGACATTCAGGAGAAGAGGCGGATGGAGAACATTCTCCAGCAGCGTAAGCAGAGACTGCAGGAAGATACAGAGCGTTTTCAGAGAGCTCATCTCCCTCCGTCTCAGAGGAGAAGACCAGGTCAGCCTTCTGTAACCTTCACGGTCTCCTCTGTCCACACACAATCAAATCTGTGTCTGATCTGTTTCCCGTTCCTAAGGGAATGGATGTGACAATTCCATTCAAGTGTCAGCTGTTCCATGGGAAAAACATTACCTACGTACGTTATATTTTTAACATCTTGGAAAACAGAGGTGCATTTTTCTATTATCAACAACAAACACACCTCAAACCCACTGGTCCATCTGGGTTCTCAGAGCGGAGTTGGATAAAAATAAATCCAATAACAGTCTCTCTTTTTCAAAACATCCGAATATATTGTATACACGTTTAGCTTAGATGTATGCATTTAAATTCAGGTTTGTTACAAATATTTACACATATGATATTGTGTTTCTGAAAATAAATCTGTTTGATGATATTATGGAGGGCATGGTGGCTTAGTGGTTAACCCTCTGGTACCTTGCACCTCTGTGGTTGGGGGTTCGAATCCCACCTCTGCCCTGTGTGCGTTGAGTTTGCATGTCCTCCCAGTGTTTCAGAGGTTTCCTCCAGGTACTCCACTGTCCTCCCCAAGTTCAAAGACATGTATTGTAGGCTGATTGGCATTTCCAAATTTTCTGTAGTGTGTGAATGCATGTATGAATGTGTACGTGATTGTCCCTTGCGAAATGTCGGCACAACTGTCCAGGTGTCCTCTGCCATACATTTTTTTTGCTCCTTACATTTTTATTTAGATTTTCATATTTCTCATTAGAAATCTGGAAGGTCTCTTCTTCTCTCATCTAGCCAATGACTGTAAGTTTTATATCAATTTAGCATCCAGTCATTACAGTTTAGCTTCCAATCCAAGTTCATGAACGTAGGAAAAAGAATCCGTTATGTTTTGACCTACTTATTATGCAACACAATGTACTTAATGCAGTAAAAATTTTCAGTACACACCATTGCCTCCCTAGAAGTCATGAACTTCTTCTAATTTGAAAAAGCATGTTGAGGAAAGTTTTGCTAATTTGCTGTCTTTAAGTGTGTATATTCAACCAGCCTGTTTTCTTTGCTAATGCCAGGTTTAACTAGCATCGATTCCAGTAGCAACCATATATTGGCTTGGCAGCGAGTCAAATTCTAACTGTTATGTTTTGTTTAGTTAATTCATAAGCAAACTACATAGCATTAGTCATGCGTATGACCACCAAACCTGCGAAGAATTATGTTTTCAGGCAAAAATATTTACATTTTACATTTTAAATATTGAATAAGTTGAATTTCACTTGAGTACAGTTTTGGCTGGATACGTCCAATTTTTTTTGTGTGGGATTTTGACACATTATCTATATTTTCACTTATGTTTATTTTCTCAGTACATATTCTACCCCTAATCACACATGGACAAATCTTTTTGAAAGCTTTTCTAATAATAATATGATTGTGATGTTTCTCATTTTATTATTATTATTATTATTATTATTATTATTATTATTATTATTATTATTATTATTATTATTATTATTTTCCTCCAGCCTTTTTTACAAGAGTACCTAACTTGGATGAAGCATTCAGATATATTCAAGGAGACCAAACGTGCTACACTCATCATGCTTCATTCTTACCTGTCACCTCCACAATCACCAGGTAGGTAGCAGAGTACAAGTGCTTGTCCTTTGGGTGGTCCGCTCAAGAGTATGTTTTTTATACCTTGTTGTTCCTTGGGGAAAATGATTACTGGAAGTATAGCTACATATTAAAACTTGCACAACTCCTTTAAAGCATGCCTTGTCAAATTTTTTTTTGTCAGTCCACTGTTGTCTTGTTCATACTTCTTCTGTTTCACATTCAAATACTTAATTAAGTTTTTGGAGCTCAGTAATACCACTGGTACGACAGAACCAGGTATTCAGCACTGTTTCATCGATTGCTGCTATTTTTGTGTAGGAGCACTTCCTCCACTGAACCGCCAGGGGGCTCCAGCGGTCCTCGCAACTTGCGTGCAGTTTCTGCAACTCGGGCCTATGACAAACTCACGCAGGAAAGAAGCCTGGGTGACTTTAACACCAGCCATCTCCTCTTCACCAACCAGCTGCAGCAGAGTCTACCAAAGGATCAAGAACAACTTCGAGCACAGGTATGTATGTAACGGTCTTAACAGGGGGTTGGATTTGGGGGGGTGTTCAAAAATTATAATCCCATATGGAAATATTGGAACTGCAAGGCCAATGTTCTTGCTATACACTGAAGACATTTGGGTTTGAGGTCAAGAGATGTTTCCTGATATTTACATGTAGTTAAACAACTTGGCACCTTTGGTGGCAGATCAGATGACACAATTTTTAGGTGGGCAAAAGTCTTAAATTCAGCTAAAGTAGATAACACTTAATATTTGTTTGCTTGTCCCTTCCTGGCAACAAACTGTTGTATTCTTCTTTTGTGATGCTTTTCCAGGCTTGTGCCACAACCTCTTTCAGCTGTTGTTTGGTTTGGTTTGGTTAAGGTCTGGTGATTGGCCAGTCTAAAATTTTCCACTTTTTTCCCCAGATGAAGTCCTTTGTGGTGGCGGCAGTGTGTTTTTGGTAATTGTCTTGCTGCATGATGAAGTTCCTCCCAATTAGCCTGGATGCATTTCTCTGTAAATTGGAAGACAGATTGTTTCTGTAGACTTTTGAATTCATTCTGGTGCTACCATCATGAGTTACATCATCAATAAAGATTAGTGATCCTGTTTCAGAATCAGCCATACAAGCCCAGGCCATGACATTGCCTCCATGATGTAGATCATGATCCTTTCTTTTAACACAATGTGGCCTTTCTGTCATTTTGGTAGAGGTTAATTTTGGTTCCAGAACATTTGTGACTCATGTATTTCATTGTGAATTATAATCTGGCCTTCTTACTGCTCTGGAAGTCTTCTTTGAAAAGTGGATTGTGATACCTTCACCCCTGCCCTATGGAGGTTGCTGATGATGTCATTGACTGTTTTTTTTTTTTAACTCTCACAGTGTCACCAACTTTTATTTTCCAACATAGACAGCTTTCTGGTCTTCATGTTGGTTTATCTTTTTTAATAACAAATGCAGTCTTCACAGGCAAAGTGCAAAAAACAATCCAAGAGAAGACATTCAGAGATTTCAATAATCAATCTAACAGGGCAGACCTGGTCACCAAGAAACACCTGTCAGTTACATGATCCAATATCACTTGAAAAATGGGTGGGTTCAAACAAAAGGTTCCATGTTTGAAGTTGTTTAACACATCTTAGATGTAAATATCAGGAAATGAAAGCTCAAATTCTGTTCTATCATCTAATCTTTTGTCTTCAAACCCAAATGGCTTCAGTGTATAGCAAAAAAAAATTAATTGGCCTTGCCGGGCCAATACTTTCGGAGGGGACTGTATTATAGCATTATGTTTTGACATCAAGCGTTGATAATCTGTCACAGTAAACCCTGAACAAATACAGCAGAAAAATATCAGTTATATGTACTACTTATGTGGGTGTGTGTTGAGGAGAGTGTGTGGGTGTCTGAAGAGGAAAAACCTGTGGGTGTGTGCTAAGGTGTGTGGATTTGTTTGAAGAACTGGCTAAAAAGAAATGACACTTCCATTCTAGCCTTGAGCTCCACCTGCAACAGCGCGCTGGAACATCGTCTGAACAAGCACAAAGGCCCCATAAACAACCTTCCAAAACACACACACACACACACACACATATACAGTGGAATGTTACCTGTGCTGGGTAGGAGCCAGCACATAATCCCATAATTCAAACCAGGACCAAACAGCAATAATCATGTTTTGGTGTAAGGAGGGTTTTTGTTTTCCTTAAACGATGACATTTTGAGAAATCAGTGCTGTATGCTCCGACCTAACCCCAAATGTGGTATTTATTATCAGCTATCTGTAAACATTATTCCTTTGAAAACTAACTCCTGGGATTCCCAGAAAGTTTCATGAACTCTGTATTACCTGTTATTTTATCATTTTGTATATAATTACTACTTACGCCAAAATCTCTTCATCTTTTCTCTCTCTTAAGCACATTTCTGGATTTCATAATATTAGGCACGGAGTTATTGAATGTAAAAAAAAAATCAAGTTCCAGTGTTACATTTTAATTTATAATCTCACCTACAGAAAACATAAATGTGTTTTTTTTTCTTCCTGCCTTCTGAAATTATAGTAGATGCATTATTAGCGCTCCTAATGCGTTGTTATATTATATTTTGTCATTCAGCAGTAGTGAATGTTCAAAAATACAGTTAAGCACAAAATTTTACATACCTTTTAGGGTTAAAAAGACAAAGTTTTTTTTTTAATATTTCACTTGTACCAAGACATTTTGTGTGTTGCATTTCAAAGTGTGTGTTACATTTTCACTGCCTTATTCGTAGAAGGTCTGGAGACTGAGAGGTTCGTCCATGAGACTCATTATGCTAATATCCTGCTGTATTGATTTTAGGAGCACAGTGACGCTCAAATAAGCCATGCAGAAAGCCTGTCTAGCCTGGACAGCCTGGAGAATGAGGTGCCTCAGCATTGTCATGGCAATAAACCTGACAGTCTGGATCCCCCAGAAGTCCACGATACCAGAAGGCCAGCATCACTGCAGAGGCAGCTAAACTGCCCAAGTCCATCATCTAACCACTGTCCACTAAAGAGATTCCTGGAGAAGGTAATAAGTCAGCAGGGTCTGCCTAGTTCTTCCAGATCTTCATCACCTTCACCTGTGGAAGATGAGTCAGCAAATGAGGCTCAGAGTGTACAGAATTTCTTAAAAACATCAGAAAGGTTCTATATAACAGGCCAGTACCACACTTCCAACATCCAAGCTACTTTCTCCTGCCAAAAGCAGGTGCTTGCAACAAATTCTGTACATACAGAGTACCAGTATGGCACAAATCTCTCAGGAGAACATATCAAGAGACAAAAGCACAATATCAGTCCCCTGCAAAATGCAGAAAGCCCCAGGTACCTTACCTCTGGAGTACTCAAGCATGGCTCAACAGTCCAACTCCGGTGAGCTCTCAAAACATCCGTCAGAGATGCACGCTGCCCAGAAACCCAGCAGAAATGTATATGGCAGTGCTTCTGATCTGAACAAAGTCTCTCCCAGCTTGGAGAACTCAGCCTTACAGACAGTAGAAGCAGAGAAATCTTTCCTGTCGACTAAGCAGAAACCAGATGCTGATGGTGTTCTAGTTCCTGAGCGGAGAACCCAACTTGGGAGCTTTGACAAATATAAGAGAGCAGAACGTCCAAACTTAGCTGATGAATACAGTGATAGCAGACTGGCAGAGGCCATTTTGCTCAAGTCTTCCAAAATGACCGAGGAACCAGACAAAACATCAGTGGACACTTTGGCCAACCATACTGACCTCAAAAGCAACAATGTCCAATTTCTGAAAGGAATCCTTAAGAAAAAGGTCACGTGTATAGGGGATGGAGAGGCCAAATTCAGGTACACCCCAGACAATTTTTCATTCCCCAAACAAGTAGCCATAGCTATTAGG